AACGGCAGCCCAACAAAAACAATTCAAATGAACTGCCCCATTCCGCAAAAGGGAAACACAAGAAGTCCAAGAATTTTTCAGCAACAAAAAAAGGGTTAAAAGTGGCAATCAACGCCTCGGATTACAAATTCGACTTGGCCATGCCGAGGGCGGTCGCCCCCCTTGGGAGAAGATGGAACCCGAGAAAGCATTGCCAGCATCAAGAAAAACTTGTGGCCAGCTCGTTAATTACCAATTGTTGGCGCACGTTGCATATCAGATGGAAATGTTTTTTCCCTCACGAGGTTCTTTCCCGAAGGTTAAGCCTATTCGCTTAAACGGGTTCTCATTTTTTCAACAGTTGCTTCTGTACATTCAAACGGTAATGTTTTTGCTACAGCCAGAAAAAGTTTTAACTAAATTAAATGGATTTCCAAGGCTTATAAACCCTTTAGACGTTTTAATCTCAGTTGAGTGTAATACTAGAAATTGTTTTTATTTAATATTTAAATTATTCAAAAATCGTTTTAATCACACTTAATACTCTATTGATTTTCGGGATTAGGGCTGTACTGCGGCAGACCACATACCATGTGGGCTGGCAGGAAAGCTTAAGTGTGCTTTCCAATATAATTTACGACTAAAAATACGAAAACATACGGATAAATCCAAATGTGAAGAAAGAAGGATGGGAGCACCACAGTTTCCAGTCCAGAAAAGTAAAACTATTCAATTTACATACATATACACTCATCGCTTTGCACACCTGATTGAGTTTTACACACTAGCACATTACACAAATATTTATGTTTTGTGGATCAACTGCTTGCCAGAGCGATTCAAGGGAAGCGGACAAAACCTTCAGGTTTAGGCGGCACTGCTTGATGAAAAAGAAACCAAACGTTCAGGTCTCAGCGGTGCACTGCTTGAACCAGAGCTTCAGGTTTAGTCGAGCAACTACTTGCGGGATCATTTCCAGAGGAAACGAACCAAACCTTCAGGTTTCGCACTGCAAACTGGCTGTGCAAGCCTTTCTTTTTGTTGATGGTATTCCAGACCAGGCCTTCAGAAATTATAATATGATATGTTAATACTGCGATTAAAATGACCGATCGGTAAGTATGTAAAAAGCTAACCTCCTGCTCCATTTAGAGTGTCTTCCGGCAAAAAGATGGCCACCGTTTCCAAGGCAAAAGCTCAGAAGCAATGTTGAAAGGTCATGGCCTGCGAATCATCACGCCGAAGAGAGACAGCGAATGATTGCATTAAACTGTTGCTGCATTCATCAGAGTGTGAGGGGGACAGACAGCCCAAAAGGGGGGCAGAGCGAAATGATGAGGCTGCTTAGGGCCAATCGCTGATGGCACTAGTGTGTGTGTGGGAGGGGGCGAGCGCTTGTGTGTGTGTGTGTGTGTGTATGCGTGTTTCACTGTGTCAACGTAATTTTTCTTTCGCTCTCTCTGCCCCACTTCAGACCCGTTCCTGTTTGCCATTTCAATTCCATATGCACAAAGCAAATAGGCAAACAAATTGTGGGGGGAATGAGGTGTGGATGGTGGCGGTAGTGTGTGTGGTGGTGTGTGTGTGTGTCTGTGTCTGTTAATGCAGCGTTGGCAGCACTGCGCTGTTGTTGCTGGTTGTCTTGGCAGCAGCAGGGTTATCGGGAAGGCGGAGGGGGAGAGGTGTGTATGGGGATTCTAGGGTTGTGGCATCTTGACAGGCAACAACTCCATGCTCAGTGACACGTGTGAAATGTTTTGTTGCAAGGAAGCGAGAGGCGGGCGTCGAGAGGCGAAAGGCGAAAGGCGAGCGGCGAGAGGCGGACAGGAGGCAAGCGGGCTACCAATTTTTTTGACATATACAAGGGGCGAAACGCTGGCAAATTGGAAAGTCAGGCCAAAAGTTGACAGGATTTGCGCGCAAAAGGATTTAGACCGGGAAATATATACCAGGGCGATGTGCTTCGAACAGGAAGTGGAAACTGGAGCAACAGAGAGAGGATTCAGCGGCAGGGAGATCTCGTAAGCAGGATAATCGACTGCCTGTCATTGTGTTTACACTAAATTTCAATTAAATTTTGAGGCCTACTTTGACAAGTGACAGTCGGCCAGGATCCCCACCAGCTAAGCAAATCAAGCGTAATAAGAAGAGAGGAAGGAAGGAAATCAAGAAAGGAACCACGGAGCCTAGGCAGGAGGGGAGGAAATCAAGCAGTACAAGCAGAGGGACAGGAAATCACTCAGAATAAGTATAAGGAGAAGAAAAGCTAAGGCTGACGCTGAGGCTGAGGCTGAGGCAAAGGATAAGCGTAAAAGAAACAATTGCAAATGCCGCACTTGGCCCATGCCCCCTATTCCCCATGCCACATGCCACTTTTAGGCAAACGACAACAAATCTCGGGGCCCACAACTCTCTGGCAACAATTTTATGCGGGAAAATGAAGCCACTTTTCCTTAGCGCCCACAACAACAAAAAAACTAAAAACAACAATCCCCAAAAGCGACGGACGGGGGCGCGGGCATGGGGCGTGGAGATGGGGATGGGAATGGGGATGGCACTGTGCTGGATTTGCCAACTGGATTTAAAATGGAAATTATTTGAAGAAAACCAATTCGCTTTATTACTTTGGGGCATACGCAGCAGCAAAGTAAAACAAAAGCAGTCAACGGTAACGCCAGCAGCAGTGCCAGCGCCAACAACAACAAATACAACAATTGTGCGAGAATGAGAAACAACAGCAACAGCAGCAACAACAGCAACAACTACAGCAAAATACAACCTGAAACAAAGAACAACAAAAGTAAGCGACCATAAAAATTAATGCAATAAAAACACATGACAGCACTGGCAGGCAGGAAAACACACACACACACACACAGAACCAAAGGACACTGGAATAGGCTGCACTGAGAGAAGAGGAACACAAGTGTTTAGGTATATAATGGTAAAATATTGCGGTTTGAAATAAGTAAAGTATGGAAAATAGGCTGGCAGAAAAATGTTCTTGAAATGTGACTTATCACTCGTTGTATGGCTTGAAGACAAATTGTTTCTCTCTGTGTAATGGCAGCCAGAGAGTGAGAAAAGAAAGGACAAGCTGAAAGTCAGTGTGGCCCACGTTCGATAGCGTTTTTGCTTACACAGAAAGCGTTGATTACCTCACCGATAATTTATCGCCGTGAATGCTGTAAATTATTTGCAGACCTCCTAGGCAGCCCAAGGGACAAGTTCTTATGAAAATTTCCAAACTTCTATGCAGAGTGAAAAGCTTGACGATAGATACATACGAGTATATGCAAGTTTTCGCTAATCAAAGGATGAGTTATAGTCTATTGAATGAGAACAATCCTTTTCATTTGGAAATTGGAAAGGCGTATAGAATCAATCGTTATAATGAAATCTACTAGCATTAAATGCATATCTGATAATTGCGTGAGATATCGATAATTAATTGTATTAATCGTATAGTTAATTGAGGGTAGATAGTCGTACAAAGTTGATTGCTGTTTTTAATACAAATTTGAGGATTCATTAATGCAATTTAATTAATACAGGAAGTGACGTTTATTATTCAGAGTATTGGAAGTGGGGGATATGCCTATTTCTGACAATAAAAAATTCGTTCTCTTTTGCCATTTTGCAGGCGAGCAACAGGGCAAGGCAATTCTTTGCAGATACTCCTTCGAGCAAGTCTGTCTGTGCCAGGGCATTACCCCTACCTTGGCCTCATTGCCTCCACGGCGCTGTTTCTTGGACTCCTGCCTGGCTCTCTTTCTTCGGTCTTGGCTTCCACTCAAGCCTGCAGCAGGCGGTGGCAATTAAAAGGACTTGCGAGTCATAAACATTGCGCTTGAGTGGATTGTTGGGTGGGCGGTGGTGCGGTGTCTGGTTCCCCAAGATCTGTGTTCCTTTGCCTGTTGCGGGCTCGCTTGATTGAGCTTACAGTTTGCGGCTCATAAAGTCGCAGAAGGAGAGAAAGAGAGAGTAGGTCCCAGTTCCAGTTCTAGTTCCACTCCCAGTGCCAGTGCCAGTGCCAGTCCCGGCCATAATTACACTTTTCAATTATGCATAATTATGTGTAGAGAGCAATTTGTGGGCTGTATTGTGCTGGGCTTTGGCTCCGTTTAAAATTTAAAGTGCAGTGACACGACACGACCCTCGGCCTGTCAACCCCTGGCCGGGCACATTCCTCATTGGAGCTGCCGCCGCTGTTATGCGATATGCCCCAAAGGCGACCCCAAGCGAGCCAGCCAGCGACCGCATTTGTTTGCTTTGGCTCCTTTTTCTCCAGTCTCCTTCTCCCCCTCGCCCCCTCTCCCCCTCTGCTCCTGCTGCGAACAGAACAGAACAGGGCAGAGCAGAGCAGAGCAGAGCAGGAGGACTGACTGCAAGGACAACGCAGCAGGCAGAAACATAAATCAGGATTTTCGCAGCCTGAACCACAAATGTTTTTAAAAGGATTCATCGCTGTGCCAGCCAGCAACAATAATAACCTTGAGGAGGGTGCTCTGCGGCCACATACCCTCTGTACGCCCACACATATATCGCTGATAATCTTATGCATGCTTAAACAGGATATGGGATAGGTACGAAGGAGCGCTTTACCTATGCCATTCCCCATTCCCCAATCCCCCAATCCCACCGCCAAAAGCGAGCAGAACCACAGCAGAAAGGTGGATGTGGCTTGTGCACGAGCGCACGAGTAGGCCTTGTTCTTAGAGTAATCCTGAAGAAATCTCAGTTTCAATTAACTTGAATTGTATTCGCAGTATCCTTAAGCACGTTCGATTTAATTTACACTGATTCGTCGAACGGTGCTACGCTACGCTGTATAAATTTCCCATAGGCGAACGGACGACACGAAAGGCACAGCTCTAGACCTCCTAGAACCCTCCTAGAACATCCGCGATTGTGAAACCATCTAGTGGTCGGAGCTCGTTAAAATCGTTTTAAACTTGGCATTAAATACTTTTAATAATCTTGTTCATAAATAAGTAAAGTGCTTGGAGAGATCAACTTACCCGTTAGGCAGCAGAAGAGCGCCGTCCACAGGGTCAGCATTTTGCGATGACCCTTTTATGTTTCTTCTCTTTCAAGTCTGTGGCTCTGGCCTCCTCTTCTATTCCGCTTTATCAGGTCTGCTCGGTGGTGCTATCAATTCGCACTTTCGTTGTGTTTCTGTTCAGGTTTTGATCTATGGCAATCTCTGGGGAAGATACGACAATATATTGGGTTTTATTCCTATTTTTCGCACACAACAAGCCCGCGATACGCTCGCATTGTCTCTTTCGCGTGGCCCTATCTGCCCCTCTGTTTCTCCCTCTCCCTCTCTCACTCTCTCTCTCTGTTCCTCTCGTTTTTTTCTCTCCTTCCCGCTCGTGAATTAAACACTTGCAATGACATTTAAAACACTTAATATCAATGGCAGACAATTTAATCCTTTAACGTTCGTTTGTTGAACTTTTTGTTGCTGTATTGTCCTTGCTGCCGCTGCCGCTGCCGTTGCCATGCCCCGTGTCCTTGTTGCTGTTGATGTTGCAATTGTGTTTGCTCTTTTCGTTTTTCGCTGGGACAGCCCCGGTCCTAGACCGGAATACTATTTTTTTTTTTTTTGTTTGTTTCCCCCTACATTTCGCATTTGCCTGACCGGAATTTTCGTTTTTTTCTTTTTAGCCTGGAACCCACCCAAAAATGGACTTTCATTGAGCCTTAACTGGGGATTTTCCCATGTTATGGGAACATAAATTGATTAAATTTGTTTTGATAAGCCAGATTCTGATCGTATGTGCAGCCTCTTTTGTTGCAAAACGAAAGCTCTTACATAACTCTGGGCAGGAAATGCAATTTCCTGTTTCAAGGAAGCCTGGAAAATCGTCTTAAGGCCACAAAAACTAAACCAAAAGCAACAATTATCGATTGAATGGCTGATGAGTAGGTTGTAATCTTTGTTACAGGGACTATATATGTATATACCATATACACACATACATATATATATATATATCTGAAAGATTCCGGCCCCGAAAACGTTAGGCATTTCTTAGGCTCCGACTGTGTTTATTCAGGTTGATTTTGCGACCATTTCAGACGGCAAATCATCCTAAGGAGAGTGTCAAAATTAAATGAAAATTGAGTGGCAGAGTGGCAGATTAGAGTGGCAGGCTGAAGGGTGGGAGATTAATGCCCCATTCTTCTATCGCTGACATGGGCTTTGGTGGCTATAAGGATGTAATGCAGTCTCTGAGTACTCTGCCAGCTGCAGGAATTTTCCTATCACCTTCACCTACTTTTCTCACACCAAGCTCTCCCTTGAGCTCCAAAGTTTACACTACAAATTAGACAGCAGGTTGGCCGGGGTCAACGCCTACGACTCAACCCTAAAAAATGGGAAAATAGTAAAGTTTTTTCCCTCATAGAATTCATAATTTTTAATGCATAAACTGGAATTGGTTTCGGGGTTCATGTCATGTCCGCTGCATATTTCATGAGTCCGGATCGCATGTATCCTTGTTTGGGTTTTTGGGGGTCCGAAAATAAATTCCGACAAAATTATGAGGCTCTCGAATAAGAAAAGAGGGCAATGGGAAAATGGGAAAATGTACAACAGCAAGCCATATCCTGTCACGCCTCTACCTATGTCTCTGGCTATTTCTGGACCCCCACCTCCATCCGTTCATCCGTCCATCCATCTATCCATCCATCCAGCGAGCCAACCACTTTGGCATCAATCAATTTGCTGTCCCCCAATTCCCATGCCCGCCCCCCCGGTAGCTGGGAAAAACGGGAAAAACTTTAGTTTAACTTTACCATTTCCCTGGCTTCTAATTTGTTAAACATTTGCTGAGGAATCGCCTTTTTCACACGCCTCTGGGAAAAATTCTTTTTCCAGCAGTACACTTTTTCCGCTGCCGCCACTTCGTCGGCTGTTGGAAATTAATTAAAACTTAATTAATTGCAAACTTCCCCTCTGAAGAGTAGGGGAGGGGGTGGGGGGGGGGGAAACTAATGAGAGGGGGAGCAAGCAGAGGTAAAAGTCCAATTTCTAGATCCTGTGGAATCCCATGCCAGGGCCATCTCCTGTGTGGCTTCAATCAGGAGTTGCTGCTGCTGACAGATTGTCTCCTGGTCTCCTGATGTCCTGGTGTCCTGGTCTCCGGGCCCTTGGCCGAGGACCCCAGCCACTTGTCACTGTTGCTTCCGTAATGGAATTAGAGTGGGGTGTGGGGTGGTGAAGGAGTGGCAGGTTTCCAAGACAGAAGTTGAGGCACATTTCCAGACTCCCCAGCAACGTCAGCAATGTCTCTTAAAAGTGTTAACGCACTCAACTGCTGCAGTCTCTTGTTATCCCCTTCTCTATCCAACTCGTATCTCTCTATCTCTTTCTTCCACCCGTCTCTCTTCTGTGTGCTAAATGCTGCCCTAGGCTTCCAGGCAGGAGCTGAAGTCGAGCATCCTCTGGTGTCCCTCTCTCTTTAATTGTAAACGTCTGCACTTTGTTGCCCTCGTCCTTGAGGCAGTGTGTGAGTGTGTATGTGTATGTGTATGTGTATGTGTGTCTGCTCTAATGCTTAGTATCTGTGATTAGGAAGCAACTTAAGTTCCGGGTTCACCCACAGCATTCCCTCTGCTCCTATTCCCTCTGCTCTCCTCCTGTTTTCCCCATTGTGTGGCAGTAAATTCCTTGGGTATGAATATTTCATTGAGAAATGTTTGCGTCGGGTTATTTTGTTTGGTTTTTGGGGCAAAACTCAAACAATATTTATAGCAAAGGTGGCGCAAATAATCAGAGATCCAAATACAGATACAATTAAATCTCAATGCGGTTTCCTGTTCCACAAATGTATTTCTGCAGACACAAAATGGGCTGAAGAAACGAGTTAATCATTTCAACAGACAAACAGTATCCAAACGAATTCGTTGATCATTGATTCCGCCTTGAGCCACGCCAATCCAATCCCACCATGAAAGCAAAAAGCAGCTGCTTTATAAACAAGTTTTTATCAAGACATAAATCCCATTACAGTCTTAGGACTTTCTCAACATTTCTGTGAAACAAACAGATAAAGAAGAAGGCCTTGAAAGCACTTGACACTTGACAATTTCCACTGTTCTTATTTTCATTCGCCTTGCCTCAAGTGTTTTTCCTGCAACAGCCGACTGTGTGTGTGTGTGTGTGTGTGTGTGGGAAAACTTTACCAGCGAAAGTTTTTCCTTTTTTGCCAGTCGAAACAAAAGTTCATTTTCTTTAGAAAGGCAGACACGAAGATATTTTGAATACAAATATTGTAGTTCTTCCATTTGGCGCATTGCGCATACGCAGTGTGCTCGGCAAACAGCATCAGAGGCAGACACCAGCACCAGACCTCCAGCCCCGCAAGAACATAAGTTTCCCTCCATTTCCGTTGCTCACTTTTAAGCACAGAGAAAAAAAACAATCAAGTATCAAGGCGGAGGGCCCATACCCTATTTGAGAGGCATGAAAATAAAGGGAGGAGCAAGGATCATTAGTCACTCTTTTCACTCGGTTAAAGTTCTAGTCTTGAGAGCTTTTGCATTCATTTAAATCACTGTATATTGTAGGTCTGGGCACTGCCTGACAATCACTATAGTTTTTCTCACTGTGCATTGCCTTAATATTTTATGTGTTTTCTATTAATTTTTGTCACATTCTTTTTTCGTTTCTGTTGGACAAATATTGTATTACACGGGGGGGAAAATACATATATTAATGTTCGATATACTATTTGGGACGGCCACCAATTTCTGTTTTGACGCGCGCTTTTCGTGTTTTTCTGGGTGGGGGGTGGGGAGCCAACAGATCAAAGATTTGGTTTTGGTTCTTGTTTTTCTTGTTGTTCCAATTTGTTAATTTATATTTGGGTTCTTTTTCGAGTGTTTGGGGGCTTCTCCGGCTCTCCGTCTCTCCGTCTCTTTCTTTTGGCTAAATATAAAACAACTTAATTTGCTGCATGCTAATGAGAGGGGTGTTGGTCGGATAGAAAGGGGGCGGGGCTGGAGGTCGTTGTGTGGGCGTTTAACACTTTTATAATTTGTTTGGCTGCGGCTCTCCTTCTGTTGATTGTCGGTCTCTTGGTCGCTTGGTCTCTTGGTCTGTTGGTCTTTTGTCGCCTGCCACAGCTGACACGCACCAATTTTTGGGTGTTTCTCTCTTGGTTTTCTTTCGAAACGAAATCGTACATAATTTTTGAGACGATGTCATAAAGTCACAGTATTCGCGTGCTGAACGCATTTTAACTTAACTGCTCGACAGAAATAACAGCCACAATAACTGGAACAAAAACAGCGACAAAAGCGACAAAAGGTCATTCAATTTTTTGTTGTTTGGGGGGTCTGCCGGCAATAAGGCAATGAGGCAATGAGGCAACGAGGCTTTTCCTGCGTTTTCACACGTTTTCCAAAATTTACGACCCAATTTTGGGCTCCTTCCTTCTCTGACACACACACACACACACACACAGACACACACATTCACACATTGAGTCCCGCAAGTCTGGTCCTATATAAATATGTATATATATTCAATATACTTTTATATTTCATATTTGTAGATATTTTAAGTAATTACGTTTATGACAAGACAAAAAAAAAACCAAAAAAAAATCACACTTATATGCACATCTGGCGATGGTGGATACTTTCGCGTCTCACGTTTTTTGGGCATTACATTTTCATAAACTTTTTCGTTGGGGAATTCCTCGGTCTTGAAGTTGGGTTCGTGATTCTCAATAATTATCGCGTTGTCGGGCGCCGCCTTCGCCCGCGTACTACGTTGAATGTCGCGCTAAAACTGAAACTGATTTGGGGCCCTCGTCCGTGGCGGAGGCCCAAGCAGCAGCAGCAGGCAGAAGAATGCGACAGCAGCGGCCAGCCGAAGGAGGGGCGACCGAGCGCACACGAGCCTTTATCAAAAGCACCGAGCAGATGCCTCGGCTCCGCTTCGTGTGGGTGGCTGGTAGTGGGCATGCCGAAGCGCCAACACTGAGCCGAGCTCTTGCCGAGCTCGCCGCACGGTGAGGCCCGCACTCTCTTTCGTTGGTTGGTAAAGTGCCTCTCTTATGTTTCTATGAGGAGGGCCTCTCTTTTGTTTCCATTCTAAGCATATTTCAAAGGTGTATTCATGCAAGGTGTAACGTTTCCACTCTTCGGCCGCCCGCTCTCGTACTGTAGCCGAAGGCGGAGAAGAAAAATGATTTAGAAGCTCACAAAAAACGAAGAACTGCCGAATTAGCTGTGCTGAAAACTTCGAAAACTCGCCCAGACTAGTTCGGTTTTTTGTGTTTGATGGATCAAGCATGTTTGTTTTTATCAGCTAGTGCGAACAAATGTTATAATGTGGCAGCTATATGGTACCCATAGTGGTGCGATTTGGGGTGATTATCGTACAAAACAAAGAAGTTCTTTTTGGAAAAACTTGTTATATAGACACGCCCGATTCCGACCAATGTAAAGTCATAAAATATCTCAAAGAATTGTTTTATATAAACAGACGGACATATAGCAATCAGATCATCTTTCAAATCAGCCGACAGTGTGCGCACCCAGACCTTCTAAGGTCAAATTTTTGAAAGCTTCTTGTTCCTCTTTCTGCTCCTCTTTTTGTTCCTCTTTCTACTCCTCTTTCTGCTCCTCTTTTTGTTCCTTTTTCTGCTCCTCTTTCTGCTCCTCCTTCGGCTCCTCTTTCTACTCCTCTTTCGGCTCCTCCTTCGGTTCCTCCTTCGGTTCCTTTTTCGGTTCCTCTTTCTGCGACTCCTTCTGCTCCTCTTTCTGCTCCCCTTTCGGCTCCTCTTTGTCCCCTTTCAGCTGTAGTGTGCGCAATCCCTTCGAGTTTCGTTTTGTAATCTTTCATACATTTTATCATTCTCTCGAATAAAAAAAAAGAAAAATGAGAGTGAAGCAACATGTCCTCACCTTTAATAAATGCCCCATGGCTTCCTTTTCCTCTCTTTTGCTTTTGTGTGTTCTCTTTATATTTAGATTGTAAATGCTCTCTTTCAAGGTCTAACATTAAAGGTCTAGCAATAAAATGTTTGAAATAGTTTTAGGAATCGGTAATAAATATATTAGTGGAGACAGGTAGAAAGACCTAATGGGGTATAATTATAGCTTGGCGCTTAATAAAAATTGACTTAATGACATACCCACTTAAGGGGTAAATTAATATTTATGGTAAGCGCTTAAGATACGCCTTATAGACGCGACTAATAGGTATCGGAAAATAATGAACAGAATTGGAAGGTGAGAAAAGGAAAATGATGGAGTAATGGCGATGGAAATATCCATCACAAAGCTAGTTCCCTCAAAACTCAGACCACCAGAAATATCTTAACAATCATAAACACTCACCTTATCACTGCCTCAGACACTATCCCACGCGAAGCGGCCGCCTTTAGGTCAGTGCCAAAGAGAGCCGGCAGGCAGCTTAAGCGAAGAGCGCGCATGCACTGAAAATATATTTAATTTGAAAATCATTCTCTTGTTCTCTTTGTTTCTTTCAACGGCGAATTCAGTAATGTGGCCAGCAGGCAGAAATTTCAATAAAATACACTCAGCGAGCGGAAAGAAGTTTGCATAAAAAGAGCTAATGACAATATAAATTCTCGTGGCGTATGGAAATTTGCCGCAGATGGGCGACGGGTGCTGGGCTGGCCGCTCCCGCTCCGGCTCCGGCTCGTTCCGTTTTCCAAAAACCAGAGATAACAGATCCCGTATCCCTGCTCCCTGCTCCCCAGGGAGGGTTATGGGTTATGGAAGTAGCGGGGGGTGGGGGGCGGCTAACAGCAGTTATCGCTGAAGCGAAAGGCAGTAATTAGCGTAAATTGAGTTGGTAAAAAGCGCAAGTGCTCAAAATCGGATGGGCAGGGCCTCCTACATCTACCCCCACCAACCCCATCACCCCATCCCCTATCCCATCGTATACTTGGCCAAAAATGTACCTAAATTGTGCGAGCGTCATGGCAACTAGAACATCAAGGGGAGCAAAATTTGTATTGAGAAAGTATTATAAGTTAGAATTGAATTCATTTTCTCTCAGTGTACTCCCCCAATAGTTGTCACTCGTTGTTGCGGTTACTTCGCGGCTGGTGGCACTGCTGGTGGGTCTGTTGTTGATTATGTGGCAATTAGTTGTCGCTTTTGTGGCAAGCCGCGACCAGGACACTTTCAATCAGAGAATCTTATTCCGACAGACCCGCTAATGCCCATCCAGGTGCGGCTTAGAGAGCTAATTAAACAAGCCGATTACCGTACGTCCAGCCACCCGCCGACCTTGGGCCCCAGCCTCCACTTGTAATGCCCACCCGCCACACAGTGTTGCAGAAAAGTTTCCACACGGCTCCTATCAAGCCTGATCCCACACCACACACAGCCTTTTCCCAGCTATCAACTTTCCACACATATTGTCCGAGGCGTGTATGTCTGAGTGTATTGGTCTTCAGGGTGGAGGTCACTGGTGGGCTGGTTGGGCTGGTTGGCTGGTTGGGTGGTGGTGGGTCAAGTTCTAGGTGAGAGCAGACTCCAGTCTAATGAGCGCCAGTCGCCCTGTAAAGCCTTTCTGGCCATACGAAACTTTATGGAATTCCAGAAAACCAAAACTTTCCAATTTAGTGGCATAGAAAATATTGTTGCAGGAAATCTTTGCACTATTTCAAAGCACAGAACTGGGAATACTCTAGGGAACATGTAAAGAATATTCGATGAGAGCTGTGGACTTGAGAACATCAAGGGTGGAGTTTTCATCGTACGAATTCCAACAGAATGGTCTCTGACTTCTGTTCGCTTATGGGAAATTTAAACGGCAAATAAACAGAACTCGAATGTGCCTGAATGTGGTCGTCTGTAGCCTGCTTTGGGTTAATAAAACCCCTTATCTCTAGTCTTTTTTTAGAGCACTCGGGCACAGGCCATTTGTGTATTCCTCCTCCTTCGTTTTTCACTTGAGTTCAAAGTCTAGCTCGTATGATTGATCCCCTGAAATGGAGGAGAGCCCAAACAAGTCAAAGTCCCACCAATGAATGCCAATGCATCGTCAATCCATCTTCTGGTTGGCCCTTTTGCCGGACCCCACAAACGTGTCTCCGCAGCTGAGCGACCCCCACGAAATGTAGTTCATTTGTTGAGTGAACATTTTATGATTTATGAAAATGTTCTATTTCTGTTCCTGTCTTCTCCCCTGGCTAAACAGTTGGGCGTCATTCCGCCCACTTTGTATTACAATCAGGATCTGGCTGGGAATTAAATCTGGTAACCGAGTTATAGCCTCGATGCAGGGGCTCGCCGCTCGGGGCCGTGAGGCGGACTCTGTTCTGGGGCATTGTTGCATATTCAACAATTGCAACTGCAAACCGACGAAGTAATAACAAATGCAAATTTTAAGCTCAAGAATTTTCAGTTGGCAAAAATTGTTACATTTTTTGTTGTCAGTTTTGTATTCGTTTTTTCGGGCTTTGGCTTGGGCCTGGGCCTCGGCCTGGGCCTGGGGAAACAGCAGGCAAAAGTGCAAATCAGTCTGCCCGCCCCTTCCCTCCCTCCCTGGACAATTGAATTTGTTTAAATTGTTGCAACTTGGTTTATTCTTCTTCTTCTTGGTGAGCATGGTGGAGTGGTCCATGCATCAGCAATCAGCAGCGGGAATCAGGAATCGGGAGTAAATCCTTCTAAACTTAAAATCCGAACACATTGTCCGGAGTGTCCTCGGTCCTAGCCAATATAATCAAGCGGCAGCTGGCAAAAACTTCAAGTGCCAAAGTGTGGGTGTGTGTGTGGGTGTGTGTGTGTGTGTGTGTGGGTGTGGGTGTGTGTGTGGGTGTGTGTCTTGGGGAGGGTAGGTTGCAGGTTTGGATGGCCATATAGGACTGGGGGCACTGATGAGTTCACTTCAGTGAGCAAATGAAACGATATTGTTGTCAATTTAGGTGCAACAAAGAGCAGCAACGAGCCCCATATCCAGCTCCCAGCCCCAGTCTCCCGTCAGACAGGACAAGACAAAACAAACAGCATGCAGGGCGGGCGAAAGAGACAGGCATAACCAGAAAGAGAAAGCGACAGAGAGAGTGAGAGAGAGAGAGAGAGAGAGAGGGAGGGAGACAGATAGTGTAACAACAAAGGCAAACAACAACAAATTGCATGTCCTTCCGCCTTGGGTTGCAACACAATATACAACGCACTCATATTTACTTTGTTGGAAGGATCCTGTTGCAGTCCGCCCTCTAACCGGACTCCCTCACTGCTGCCCGCCCGTGCCCCATGCAGCCTGCAACATTAATGAAAACTGCAAGCGACCTGACACAGATAGGTACGGGACCGGGACTGCCGCTGCAGCTGCCACTGGGGGGCGACATTGCTGCACCTTTATTTACAGACAATGCGGCGGGGAGGGGCCGGAGGCCGGGGGTAGGGGGGAGGGCCAGGCAATTGGGGGAAAGCATTTTCAGAATAGGACAATATTTTTAGTCATTTTCTGAGCGAGATTCCTGAGATTCCTTTTACGTTGCATGCCCCTCCAGCAGATCTTGGATAATTGCCAACTAAATTGGGTTTAATGGGTTAGCAAGGGCTTCTCCTAAATGGCAAATCAGGTAGTATACTCGTACGTACATACATATGTACATAGGTAGTTGCGGCAAGATGTAGACAGAGTTGCACGTTGTTATCGGACAGAGAGAGAGAGAATTGGTACAAAAAGTTAATAATGAAATAATTCGAGTAGATTGTTTGTCATTTTGGGAGCTGGACAAATATAATTTGTTCGCTCCTTGGGGGACTTCCATTAATTTTCTCCAGTTTCCAATTTCCAACCGAAATTAAAAACAGTTGGCTCAAAAGATTGGGGAGACTGGAAAGTGGATAAATAATAAATACCTACTAAATAGATGAGAAATATTTTGGGTGATTTTCCAGCCAAAATTTACAGCAAGTACAGTCAATGCAAAGGTTTGCATAGTCAGAGTTGCTTTATTATCGATAGGCTGGGCGATAAATAGATAGTTTAATAAATTAAATAAATAAATAAATAAATTAGGCACATTACACTAGAGCGTAGACTATCCGTGTCTGGCCACGGCGGCCAACCAGGATTACAAAAAAAAATTACAATTTAGATAGCTGAGAAGAGAGCAGTAAAAGAAGGACAAGGAGCACATCCCGCTATCCTTTAAGTCCTTTAGAGCCGTACAACCTCAACGCCCTGCGGCGCAAACAGCGATTCGGCGGCCAATTTGAGCTTCTCGTTGACCAATTTGGCGATTTTTGGCGTGCGGCGCCACACGAACTCGCGTGTTCTATCGTGATTGTCCTTGCTCTCCACCTCCACCTGGAACACACAGCAGAAGTCAAAGGTTAATTGGACAAAGGGCAATCATAGCGGACGCGATGCGACGCTGCGCTGCGCTGCGCGACCCACCTGCTTGGGCTGCTGCACCTTGATGGACATGAGGGTGGCCCGATCGTCCACCACACTGAACTTGATGCGTCCGATCATCTCGTTGGTCCTGGCCGTGGCGCTCTTCACGCTCCTCACGCTGCCGCGCTTGAAGGACTTCTCCACGCGCAGGATCAGCGGACCCAGCGTGAACTTGGCCTTAATCGTGGAGTTTCGTCCCTCCGCATCGCTAATCACCTTCACGTTTCCCACCCGCTTGAGGGAGGCCAGCCCCGAGAGACTGCCCTCGGCCTTCTGCAGCTTCTCCACATCTCCGGCCTTGCTAGCACCCGCGGGCTGATTGTAGTTACCAGATTTCACTGCCGTCGTACCCGAGGCCTTTTTGTTGGTACTGTGCTTGTGGCTCTGGGTGGAGCCGCCTGCCGCGTTCGTGGAAGTGGACTTCTTTTGGCCGCTTTTGCCTCCGGACACGGTTCGCACTTCCGCTTTTGGTGCATCGGAATCAGTGGTAGTGGCATTGGCAGAGGCTGCGGCCTGGTCAGAGGCAACGGGCTTCTTTTCGATGGCTTTGATGGCCAGCTCGGACTGTAATTGCATCAATTGCTCCTGCAATTTGCCGGCGTCCTCCTCCTTTGCCTGATTGTTTCCACTGCCTCTGACGCTGCCGCTGGCCCTTGGCTCGGAGCGTGTGTTCTTGCTGCAAGAAAATTTCACAAAATTTGCATCAATTCACTCTGATTCTGGAGTGCACTCAAACGAGAGAATGTTCCTTAAATCTACGAAAATCGAGTTACTTCTAAAACTGCCCCAAGTACTTAAGCGGATACAAACCGGACTTTTCGCCAACTTTTGTTTAAATTTTGAAAAGATATAGGAAAATATATCAGATTCAGATATTATTTCTGGGGACTTTTTTTTGGGAAGTAACTATTGAGATGGTTTTCTTCTGCCTGTCACTTACAGTTTCTTGTGTCCGCCGGCCTTGGTGGCCTTGTTCTTGTTGGTGGCCTTCACCGTTGTGGCACTGCCCGCGGTGGTCGGGGCCGAGCGTCCGGCCAGGCGCACCACGAAGGGATCGTAATTGTCGGATACAATGCGATTGATACGCGAGAAGATGGCATCGATGAAGTGGTTGTGCCGCGCCTGGAACGCATCCGTAGACATGTCGATGACGTTGTTCTTGAGGTCACCTGCAGCAGCCAGCGTCAGCAGGGGTCAGCATGGGTCAGCGGGGGTCAGCAGGGGTACGGAGGTGGCAGGAGCGGAGAGGAATTCACATTAGTTCGGATCGGCTTACACAATGAAAGTTCAATTTGAGGACAGGGCGGGGACAAAGGTCGTTTGTGAAGAGGGGGAGCTTTTGTGGTTTTTCCTTTTCAGTGATGCTGTGATGTGTGTCTGTGTGTGTGTGTGTGTGTGTAGGCTTTTCATTATGTTTTCAGCCTCTAATTACATTCAAGTGCGAGAGTGTGAGTGTATCTGTGTGGGCATAAGCTGATGTTTGTCCTAACCACAGCAACACACACAGACACACCCAGGGACACTGATTATTCGGAACTACTTCGTGTGTGTGTGTGTGGTGGTGGGGGGGTTGTGTTTATTAGTACGGTGGGATTAGCAAATAATGTACAAAGGGACAAAAAAAACATTGACATTGAAGCCAGAACCAGGCAGGCCTCCACCTCCCATCCAGATTAAAATAATTATAGCTCTTTGCCAGGGATGGGCTCAGCGATTGATTGCAATTCTCCCCCCGATAATAATTCATCGCACGGCCTAATGGAAAATAATCATGGATACTTTATCATTCCTTAATTAAGAATTTGTCATACATTTTCATCTAAGAAAAGACATTTCTGAAATACGATTTGGAGAGAAATTTCCGCAAGAAGTCATTATTTTTAGTTTAGAGTTGATATAGTAGTTCTTTAATGAAGACTTTCCCTACATCAAAATCGTATATTTTCGAACATTTCCTTTAGACTGTGGGTCCGCTATTCATATTTGTGACACCGAGGAGGCATGCAATTATTCCCGAAATATCCCCTCTCAGGGCAGACCTAATCCTTGTCTTTCACCTGCTTATCGCATGACCCATCACCCGGCAATGACTGTTCCACAAAGGCCACCATCCCTCGAGCCGCCATCCGCAGGCGGATATAATCGGAAACTCGACCAACGTCGGGCATGATGAGGTACTAATGTACTTTTTGCATGTTAGCCCTGGTCCTCCCCCCCCCCCCCCCCCAAACCGGCTCCGTGCCAGCCCCTCCAAAGCAGTGAGTCTGTTAAGTACTCGCCCTCTCACCCACTCGGCCCACGCGACAGAGTGTGGCTTATATAGTTTCAGCATTTGCCCTTTTCTGTGCTTGTTAATTGAAGCACAAAAATTTTAAATTTAAAACGACATTTTCTAAAATAGATAATTTTGTGGGCGTGTCGCAAGGCCGTGTGAGTGGAAGCAGAGGCTTACGGATGGGGGCAGATGGGGTGGTTAGGTGGTGGGGATGCACAATGACGAGGGAGAGCAGCAGGGAGACGGAGTCGAACTAATTAGAGCGAATGTTACAGCAGCAGCGGTAGACAAGCGGGATGGATGATACAAGTGCGGAATAGATAGTACCGAGCATTACGGTAATGACGGAGCAGCAGCAGGGCTAATGATAGGAGTGTATGTGTGAGAGAGGGGCATGTGCAGGTACAGATTCAGATACAGATACAGATAGAGAAAGAGACAGTGACAGTGACAGTGACAGTACCGATAGCCTCGCCTAAGGTAACGCTTGAAAGTACTCTCCTCCAAAGGATTCCGCACAAAAGAATTATACAATTAATTTCATTTTCGCAAATTTATTTAAGCAAATTTTTGTGTTGTGTTCTTTCGTCTTCTTCTTGCTTGATTTGTGGTTTTTGTTGAGTTGTTTTTTACAATAAATAATAAATAAATAAATAAATAAATAATAAATTACAAATTAAATGACCTAAAACGCAAAGTTTAACATTTTTCTATGGTTCTTTTCTTTTCTGTAAAATTTTGCGCTGCCTTTCAAGCGTTCAACTTTTAGCTACAATTTTTTCCTGTTGGTTTTTTTCTTTTTTTTTTTTTTTTTGTTAATTTTTGACTTTACAAAAAATTTTGCGTTATTTACGTTTGGAAAATTATGCGAGCCGAAAAAGAGAGAGCGAGGAAAAGCCAGAAATATTACAATTACTTTTTTCGTTCCAAAAATATTCAATTGTAAGCCAAAAAGTGTGAAAGCAAGATAGCGATAGTGCTTGTGTGTTTTTGTGTGTGCAAGAGACAGAGAGAGATAGATAGATAGAGAGAGAGAGAGAGGGAGAAGGATAGACATTGGTAAGAGGGATACAGAGTGAGATAGATATGTGTTTGACATCATGATAATTAATTCCGAATCGAATCTGAGAAATTATGGTGTTTAATTACAACTAAAAATAAATAAATTACACTAAGTGAACAATTCTTATTGCTGTTTTACATCAATTTAGCTATAAGTGTGTGTGTGTGTGGGTGTTTGGGGTGTGTGTGTGTGATAGAGATAGATAATAGATATGTGGGCAGGGTTAGAGTGGGAAAGAGAGCAGGAGCGGTCTGAGAGCAGCCCTTAATGGTTAATGGTTGTCTCTCTCTGTGGCCACAGCTCCCCCCAGGCTACTGCTACTGCTCCTGCTCTGCTTCTTCTCAGGACTCAATGGATTCAATGGATTCAATGGATTCTTCATCATCAGCGCCTTCTCCTTCATCTTCTTCATCTTCTTCTTCTTCTTCGTCTTCTTCCTTATCATCATTTCCATCATCATCTTCTTTGTCTTCTCTTTTCCAACCATTTTGTGCTTGGGCATTAAACATGTTGCTGTTGTGTTGTGTTTTTGGTGCGGTACAGTTGCTCTTGCAAATCTTAGTCAGGTAAAAACAGTCCGTGCGTAAATAACTCAAAAAAAAAGGTGCGTTTCATTGCGGTGTGGGTGTGGGATGTACATATACTTTTGATAGGAGGTGTGGACAATTGTGCAGCGTGCAGCGTGCAGCGTGCAGCTTGAAAAGGTTGCAGTTGCATTTGCATTTTGTTCTCTTTTTGCAGATAGTTTGACTAGCACCAAACTCTCAATCATCTCCTTTCGAGGATGTGTTTCTGTACTTAACTCAGTTTAAATAAATTAGAAATTATGTTGGACTTGCTAGGGATTGCTGGGGACGGGACGGAACGGGACGGGACGTGTGTGTGCGTGTGGATAGTCAGTGCAGGCAAAGATCTGTTGTCCGGATCGAGTCCTACCCCGGAAATTATTGGAAAATTCACTTTCCTTGATGGGGCTTTCGATTGTCATTCAACGTTGTTGTTGTAGTTGTTGGTCCCTGTCTTTAGTTGTTGGTTTTTGTTATTTGTTTTTTGTTTTCGGTTTTTGTTTTGTTTTTTGTTTTGTTTTGTTTTGTTTTGTGGTTTTTTTAGCAATTCTTGAATGGTTTTTAGTTGTTGTTAATGCTTGAGCTCTTTTTTGGTCTTCTTCGAGGGACTTGTAGATTTCTTGACTTTGGCTGTTTTTGAGGCTGTTGCTGACTTGGGCTTGGACTCACGTGCTTCGCGCCGGGCCTCGATGATATCGTCCCCAATGATATCATCATCGTCGTCGTCCTCATCATCGTCGGCCTCCTCGTCGTCGTCGCCGGCTATACCTGCAATTTCACCAATTTCATCGACTCCATCATCAATATCATCATCATCTTCCTCATCGTCCTCATCGTACTCGTCGTCGTCGTCAGCGTCGTCAGCGTCGTCATCGTTGTCGGTGGCGCCGCCAGGAGCAACAGGCCCGGGATCAGCCCCCGGTGCGGGCTTCCCCAGGGCCGCTGGTCCGGCGACTATTTGGTTGTTATTAATTTTATGGATACTGTTGGTTAGAGTGTTCTGCGTGACTGTGCTTGTACTGTGATGCTGATGCTGTGATGATGTTTGGCCGATCGTTGCGGACTGTGTGGCATGTTGCAGCTGTTGCTGTTGCAGTTCTTGTGCGTTTGTTTGTTTCTGTTGTTCGTCAATTGCATGGGTGCTACTTAAACTAGTTGTGCCACCACTAATACCATCTACAAGTGCATCTTCATCGTAAAAAACATTTTGTTCACCTTCGTTGTTGCTGCTGCTGCCGGAGGCTGCCGTGGCGGGGGCTGCCGCTGCGGCTGCGGAAATGTCCTCGGCGGCGTTGCCGGAGGCGGCGGCCTCAACAGCGTTGCCGGACTCGGCGGGCAGATCCACGCCATCGGAGATGCCGGAGCTGACCGAGGAGGCGGCGGGAGCCACTTCCTCCAAGGCCTGGGCTGGCGAAGCGGCAACGGAGCTCTGCTGGGCACTGGCAGCGGGAGCGACCTCGTCATCGTCGTCCTCATCATCATCATCTGGGGGCGGGCAGGCGCTTATGTGATGATGATTTTCAACAGGGCAAGAGGGGCAGACACTCACCTCCCAGGATGTCGTCGAACAGCCTGTCCAGATAATCATCGTCATCGTCGTCCTCCTCGTCATCATCGCTGGCCGTGGCCGCTGGGGCAGCCTGTCCCTGTGGCGTGTCGTCCTCCTCCTCGTCGTCATCGTCCTCCTCCTCATCATCATCTGAAAGTCCCGAAATCAAAAGAACTATGTTACCCAAGGGAAGGGACCAGAAGAGTCAAAAAATTCTCGTTAATAGGGCTGGACAAGATCGATCACATCACATTGCATGCGGTGGTGGCAGTTCAGAGTGCATTTCATTTGCTCAGTGGTTCATTTGTTGTTGGTGGTGCTGGTGCTGGTGCTGGGTGCGTACTTCTTAAAACACAACTGATTCTATCCTCTACATACCGTCATCGTCATCGATCAGATCTCCTAGATCCGGCTCATCATCATCGTCGTCCTCGTCATCATCTTCGTCGTCATCGTCGCTGGCCGGGGCCGCGGCCGGGGCCACATCGTTGTTGACCGCCTGCTGGCGGGCCACCGCCCGCTCGCTCCTGGACAGCAGCTGCACCGGCGAGGCCTCGATCTGGAGGAGCAGCGCACTCAGCACGCACAGCAATATAACGAACTTCATTCTGTCTTGGGGTTTCTTTTCAAATCTGCAAGGAGTCGAAGCACACGGATGGATGGGCATGAGAAATCAGTTTTCTTTCCAACGGAGAACTTTTACTTTTGCTGCGGCTGACCCCAATCGACGACTAACTGGTTGCAGGAGGCAACACTTTCTTTTTCATGCCATCGAAAATTACATATTTAGTAAGCAAAGTCAACTGCCAAACAGCGGACAGTTGTTGGTGGCCATTCAGTCAATAAGCCAGCCAGTCAGCCAGTCAGCCCGCAAAGAAAGCAGACAAAAGAGAGTCTCTGCGTCTGCGTCTGTATGTGTATGTGTGTATCTGTGTGTGTGTAAGTTGGAGTGCGAATGTAAACATGTTTTTGAGCTACGCCTCAAAGTTGCCGCCGGCAGTGTCCACATGTCCATTTGCTGGCACTTGACATACAGCGGCAGCAGCAGCGGCAGCAGCAGCAGCAACAACAACAGCAGCAACCACACCTCTTTGTACAGCTCCAGGCGCCGTTGAGGAAGCCGCCACAGTGGCAGGTAAAGGCAAAGGCAGCGACGACTGTAGACCAGATCGGGCCGCACCGTTTCGCCATGGTGTTGGCCCCAGCAGAACAATGGCCAAAGGAAGTCCTTAGCCACGCAGGGTATTCCCCGTTTCGGCTTGAAGATCTCATTGTTGCCATTGTTGGTGCTGCTGTTGCTTTTGGTGGCTTTTTAGTCATGACAATCAGCACGGCCAACAGCCAACGGCTATAACCAACAACCGCAGCAGCAGCAGCGGCAGCGGCAGCAGCAGCAATTGTTGCCATTGTCGTAGTTGTTGCCGCTGCTTGTATACCCTGGCGCAGAGGGTAGTATGAGTTCCATGAAGATCGGATTACTGCCAAGGGAACAGTCAATTGAAACAATAAGACCACGACCTGTGGTGCTACCATTTAGCTGCCATACACGAGCAAGGGTATCAACAGCCTCGACCCATTCGCTGCTTGTTGCTTTCGTTGGCATTGTCGCAGTGTCAAGTGTGGCTGTTGCAGCCTTAGCTCTTGGCCAAGTGAAAGCGACGCCGACTGTGGCGACGACGCAACGTTTTCCCAAAACTTGTTCGCCGGCCGCAACGATTTGTTGCAGCAGCAACTGTTGTTGCCGCTGCCGCTGCCGCTTATTGAAAAATGGGTAAAACGTTTTCTGTAAATCGAGTCCGGTGCTGATAAGCAAACGGCAGAGTGGCCATAAACTAAAGTGAAAACCCAGTGACCTACTGGCCAACTGCAAGCAGCAACATCATCCACAGCGGCAACATCATCAACATCATCCACAGCGGCAACTTGACTGACTTGACTGACTTGACAGCCTCGACTCCGAGTGGGGATTGGTTAACGGGTCTTAGGGCCTTGGCGATGACTCTGGCTCTGATAAGCCGTCGAAGTCGCAGTTTTATGGCGTCCGAATGCCCCAATGCCCCAAGACTCGGAGGTTGCCAGGCGGCAGATGAAAGATGCCACGCCGAAGAGGAGCCGACTGGGGCTCTGCTTAATTAAAAGTTTTACGGAGCGCAGCTCTTGAGCGGTGTTTATTAAATACCAATGCCGCAGGCAGGAGGTGGGAGTTGGGAGTTGGAGTGGGCCAAGCTTCTTAGACTAAATATGATGATAGACAACCTGGGCAAAGAGTTTGGTAAGCCAGACCCAGACCCAGGCACAGTGGGTGTTGTCAAGAGCAAATGATGGAAATCCAGGAAACAGAGAGGCCAATTATTCCCCAATATTCGCTTATTAACTTGAATTGTTTTATGGTACCACTTGGAGGGCTTAAGGCTTCGTTTTAATAGGGATTAAGGATAAGGAGCCGTGAAACTTCGTTCTTTTAGCTCAATGACGCAAAATAGTTTTCCCACTTTCAATTTTCCTCAACCACACACACACACACACACACACACAAGGCACACACACTCTTGTGCATATTCATAAAGTTTTGGTATCACTTTGGTTGCATCCACTGTAGGTCGCCCCCCCGCACCCATCTCTCCTCGCGTCTACTGTTTCGAAGTACTTATAAACTCCTGCCTATTGAAGTCTTGGGGAAATTGCATTTACTTTTTCCCACTAAGTCTCCTCCTATGCTCCTGCACACCCTGCCCGCTGCCCGCTGCCTTGACACCTCCAGCACCAGTACCCACCACCCCTTACAATGCGCTTTTATCTACCATTTTTCCCACCGAACTCTGAGCATTTCACGCGTCATGCCGCAGCAACAAGAATGGGAAGAACAAGGGGGGGGGGGGCCAGAAGAATAGGAAGAGTTAAAGTGGGGAAGAGGAACAGAGCAACAATGCAATGCAAAACTTCTGACAAGCATGAGTGGGAGCAAGAGCAAGAGAAAGAGATGGGGATGGGGATAGAGATGGGGATGGGGATGGAGAGGGGGGGAGCAAGCAACCTATCTCTGTTCCTTAGCTTTGGCAACTACTTGGCTCTCCCCACACTCCCCACACTTGTTCGTACTTCTTATTCATCTAGTACTTCTATATCTACTCTCTTCTTCTGCCTTTATCTTTGTGCTCCTCTTGTCGTTGTTGCTGCTGTTGCTACCGCTGTTGCTGCTGTCTATTGTAGGGACTAACTCATATGGAACGCTGCTCCCACTATATATTTGAATGCCCCCCATAGAAAAACGCAGCTAACCGTGTGTGCATTTTACATTAATATTCATGTGCGTGATGCTGATGGAGATGATAGGTTGCAAGTTGGGAGCCATAGACGGGGCAACAGAGGGCTCTGGAGAAGGGTGTATGTATGACGGGTCTGTGGAGTGTTTGCTGTGCACTTGCACGTCACACAGGCAGCAAAAATTACTTAAGCTCCACTCAGAGCCAGCGGCAAGAGCGGGGGCAGTGGGAGAGGCAGTGGCAGAGGCAGAGGAATAGGGGGAGAATCTATTGAAGGCAATGCCTGAAGCGAGGCAGCTGCCACTTGATGAGGTCCCCCCGCCCCCATCTGTGGGGCCGTCTCCATCCGCATTGTCATATCAGCGTCATATCAATAAATATGCAGGGCCCCAACAAAAGGACACGTGCAGACAGGATTTGCATGGTGGCCACCAGGCCACCAGACCACACCCGGCCATTGTCTCATATGTTTCGAGGGGACTGCCGGCTGCTGAAACTCCTGCATGTCCTCCTGCGTGGCAGTTAATTTTCCAAGACAATGCCACCAAGAGGTAAAATAGAAAAATAAGCTTTACACGTGCCACACACTCCACTGCAGCGCCGCCAAAATGCAGTAAGCGACTTCAAGGCAAGGAGATTTTCTAGAGATTTTCAATCGCGGCATGAGTAGACGACGCGTCGTATCCTTGGCAGTGGTTCGTTGGTTCGTTTCGTTGGTGTCTCCACTGTCTACGCAAAAACTTCTTCGCATGGCTCTCCTCGAGCGCCCGCTTTGGGCCCTCTTTCGCATGCATTCGCACGTCACATGAATTAGGACTTTGTTATCGTCGCGTCACCGTCACCTGGCAGCACAGCCACTAAGCAGGCTTTGTGGCCGGGACCGAGACCGGGACCACCCACCCATCCCTCCAAGGCGAAAGGTAATGGACGGGACAGGCTCTAGCCATGACTGACATGCTGCATAAACTGCACCATTTTGTGTCGTGAACTAGCTTCTGGGCCACAAACGAAAAGAATAAGGAAGAGAGGCGTAATTTTGGGGGAACCGAAGACAGAGATACCCTGCAGATTGGTAATATGGTCCCATGTTGAGCGAATTTGGCAGGGACTAGGGTATTTTCACAAGGACGTAGCTTCAATCGATCGTTTCTGTGCATTTCGGATCCAGATTATATATAGATCGTTTTCTCACCGATGCATACCCGTTTCTGAGGTATATGCAACACCAAACAAAACAAAACAAAAAGCACAAAAAAAAGAAAAACTGTTGAGGAATGTGTGGAAAAGTGGAAAATGAATTGGAGCAGGAGTCGTGGGCCACTCAAATTTCGCCAGCCAATGGTCTGCTGGTACTGCTCTGAGTACAGCAGAATTCCTCTGTTAATAGCTTGTCCTTGCTGGACTCCCCTGTCCCCGACTCCGCCGCCTTGAGTGTGTTTTGTTTGGCAGCAAAGTGCTGGCCAGTGTAAACAGTGTAAACTATAACTTGGCTGGAACTGGTTGATGCTGCTGCTGCCACTGCCACTGCCACTGCCACTGCCACTGCCACTGCTGTTGTTGCTGCTGCTTCTGCTGCTGCTGCTGCTGTTGATGCTGGCCAGGAAACACTTAAATTAACTGCTTCGAGTCGTTCCGTATGTAGGTCAGCTTGGAAGAAGAAACCTGAGCGCCATGAGAGATGATTACTCAACTGGCTTCTCTTTCGGCTCGGTTTGGTTCAGTTCGGTTTGGTTTGGTTTGGTTTGGTTTGGCTTGGTTTGGCTCTCTGCTGACCGCAGAACCCCCAAACATCAAGAACAGCAGCAGCACATGTGAAAATAGAGCACATAAAAAGCGGGGAGTGGATGGAAGGCGCTCTAAATTGCTGCAGATACAATTTATGACCAAGCCAGTTAAGAGTCCGCTTCCAAGTGCAAGTTGCTTTTTGTAGTTGAAAATCAATTAAAAGTTCTTGCCGAAGACGTTTCTGGTTCCCGTGGCAAGGCCAGGCCAAGCCAGGCCAGGCCAGGACAGGCCAGGCCAGGCTTTATGGGTCGTTCGGCCGCTTCAAGGGAGATGGAGATTCCCGTTCGCCGGCGATAGAAACTTTGCATCCAAGATTTTAGATTTCACACAGACAGGCACCACGAAGGCGGAGCACCGCCTCGAGGGACGGGGCACACGGAGTAGATCGAACAGGCTGATTTGTATCTCAGCTTTCACAGTAAAAATTACAACAAAAAAATAAATCCTCAACAAACGAAAAAAAAAATAATGGTACCAAAAGGTCCTCTCAGTTTTGTATCCAAGTTCTAAGTAAATTGTGGGGATGGAATGGATCCCAGTTGCCGAGTATCCTCCCAGCTTTTATCCAAGTGCTAACCTTGACTAAGTACAAGCGATAAACTATCGATAGTCGGTACACACACACACACACGATAACAACCGATAACAGCAAGTTTGCACCGTTGCGCACTCCTCGAGTTGCGAATGAAGACTGTCGTGGTTGGATCGCTTCTTGGATGGTTTTGAGGCCCTCCCTCGACTACGTGATTCTTGGACAGACTTTCTTTTTGTTACGGCTCTGCCGCAGCGCAGTCGCTCTTTACCTGTTTATGGCTTTATGGGGGAAGTATATCTCCGATTCGATTGTGAATTCTGGGCTCGAGCTTCGTTCAATTTTCACACCGCCGCGCACACAACTGTCTCGCACGACTGAGCGTCTTTAACTGATCACTGGCTCCGGTCTCCGCTTACCAACTGCCTTGCAGAGGCGCCACCAGAGCTTGGCCCGAAGCTGAAGCTGAAGCAGAAGCTCGGCCCGAAGCTCGTTTCAGTTACATTTCATTGCTTTCTTGCGGCACTCCTCTCTCCAACTGTCCAGCCATCTATCCATTTCTCACACTCTTGACTTGAATCTTCAATTCATTTGAGGCGGTGTCCGCGGGAAAGTATTTGGCACACTAAGCGGCCAGGGCCGGCTATAACAGTTAGCGGCATGTCAGCGGCTCTCTGACAACTTCTCGAGCGCTCATAAATTATGATCTAAGACGACCGACCGAGCCCCATAAACGGGATGGGATGGCAGGGAGGGTCTGGGACTGGCTCTGGGACTGGGACTGGTCTATGGGGAAAGAGTGCAGTAGCCTACTTGATTTCGTTTTGATAATGTAAGCCATAAACTTAATTCGGTTTTATTTGGGCTTTGTGCCACTTACAGTGGAGTCAAGGAAGGTCCCCACACACTGGATGATTGAGGAAAAGCTGTGCTATTTCCCAATTTAAAGCTATGCCAGTGACATTTCATTAGGTATAGGGGCATACTCTAGTCGGGAGATGGTTCTTCCCGCTTCTGTCTAGAAGGAATATCAACCCATACCAATACTGGTACACATTTTGTATATTCTACCTGAAATTCATCACATACTCGTATTGGATGTGCTATATTGACTTTATTCAGTCATCGTTCCGCACCCTAACCCCATTCCGCAGTCGCCTCCTGGCCTCGATCCGTTCAATTCGCATATTATGGATATATATTTACATAAATATATTAGCGGCAACGTATGCGATGGATACAGGTGTGCGAGTGTGCGAGTGTGCGAGCGAGCATTCCCCAAGTGCTAATTTCTGTGCTGCGACCGAACAGCAACAAATCAAAGTGAAATCGCAATCGGAAAGACACAAAAGACCAATAAAAAGAGCGAGGAAAATAGGTAGTTTTTTATAATCGCTGATAAATTGAGGTATACTCGTAGTTAATGTGATTTGCCCTGACTGGCGTTTCATTTTCAATGTCCGGGACGAAGAAAATTGACAGTCACTGGACTGCTCTCGGAGTCAAAGTCAGAGCTTTCCCATGAAAATTGGTTGACAGCGGACACTGATGCCGAAGCCGATGCCGAAGCCGGCAGCGACGCTTCCAACAGTAAAACGTGTTCTACTCGTTTGTATCTGGTGCTGCTGCTGCTGCTTCTTGCAGTTGGGCAAAAGTTGTTTTTACTGTAGTCAAGCTGTCTTGGCCGTGTAGCTGGCTGTCTATAACTTTCTTCGCAAGTTGTTGTTGTTGGCTCTGCCTTTGCCTTTGCCTTTGGCACAAAGTAAGTCGCTGCAAAGCATTTCTGTTAACAGGTCAGTGGAGTTTTCTTCAAGTTCCAGCACAGCACAGCCCAGACCGAGACCGAAACCGAAACCAGAGTCTCCAGAGTCTCGGCTCGGCGATAGTGCCATAGTGCCGCAGAATGTTACGAAATTTTATGTAATGTGCCAAAAAAAAAAAAACAAAAAACCAAGAAGCTCTGCTCACTGAACAAAGAGATGGCTGCAAATAAAGATTCGAAAACAAAAAAAAAAAGCTGAAAAAGCTGAAAAACAAAAAACTTTCATTCAAGGCAACAACAAAACAAACAAACATCTTCGCTCGGCTAAACTTTAACTATTTTTGAAGCGCAAAAGTCGAAAGTCAAAGGGCATGAAAGAGTTGCGCCGGGGCGAAGGCAAGTTCACAAAAGCATATAATTTAGCATTTTAATGGCTTAATACACTCTGACATTTGGGTGGCGGTGGCGGTGGCGGGGCGGGGCGGGGCGTAGCCGGGGGGTCACTCAGGTGGAAAACTAGTTGGGGGGAGAACCCAATCAAATCAACACTTGACACTGACGGGATGCCCCCGCTCTTGCCAGAATAATGAGAATCCCCACCGCTCCCCCCCCCGCCAAATATTTTCATAAACAAATCTGCTAAGGAGTCTGCTTCCCTTACTCCATTTGACTAATTAATTTTTGCTCAACTTGTTCCCGCAACCACTTAGTGGGTGAGTGGGGGAGTGGGGGGGATGGGGGATGGGGCTACCAAAAGTTTTTCCGGTTTATTAATTTTCCTTGACTTGTTGTTGCTTGTTGTTGTTTGGCTCTGCTAAATGGGCCACCCGCTGAAAATCTTTGCCAGCGATTGGCAAACTCTAATTGAGAGTTTTCTTCCCGCCTGTCGGGGGGCTCGTTTCGGCCATTAATAATGCATGTCAAACGTTTAAGTGGTGCTTGCGATATAGTTTCATTAAAGAAACAGAAAAGTTCGGGATCGTTGTTAGTACTCGTATCACTGGATATTCATTCGATTTTCGAAAGAGTTTCCACTTCCCTGGCACTCATCATTTCACAGTCCGTGCTTATTTCCATTCGCATTTAACCTTATCCGAATATCCATTTCCATTTCGCGTTAACTGGCGTTCATCTGTATGGCCCTTGGAGCTCCTTCGTCGCTCGAGAGCCCCTCATCCCGGCTCCTTCCACCTTCCATTGCACGAACATTGTTCACTTAACGCTCATTATTGTTCCGCTGCTCATTTAACCAATCCAATTATCCTCACTAACCCAACTCCCCCCCCCCGCCTCTCTGCCGCACCTCTGGCACTCTCTCTCTGCCCCCTTGCCCCTTCCGGAGGTAGACAATTAAAGGCATGAAATTATTTGATTACCAACGTTGTGTCGCTGCCAAGTCAATGTCTCCACGAAAATTTCGCTTTTCTTTTGGGTGTTTTCAGCCACTACAGCAACAACAACAACAACAACCCACACGATGGACGTGTAACAGCAAAACCTTTACGACTTTTCTCCGTTTTCCTTCCATGTGTGTGTGGGTGTGGGTGTGTGTGCCGGTGTGTGTGTGTGTGTGTGTTGGTATAATTGTTGTAGTATTTATTCTTGTAATTTTTGGTGTAGTTGTTGCCGGTGGGTGAGATTATGCATGAAAGCGTCTCTGTGTGCCTGGAATAATCAAGACAGGCACTTTTTTTTTGGCCCCAGACGAGGAAGAAGACGTGGGGGGGTCGGGTATGGAGGCTGCTGTTCACACGCGCCGACTGTCAATAAAATGACAGTGATAGAGGGGGCGGAGGGGCGACAGAGTGGAAAGGTGCCACAGACACAGCCACAGCGACTCCCCCATTTCCGCATTCATTGCGTGCGGCGGCCGTCAACTAATCGATTTTCAAAAATCAGCTTATAGTTAGTCGCTAACACTGCTGTTGTAAGTGCCAACTCCAGCGTCAATTCCGTGGCGTGGCATGGCGTGGCGTGGCGTCCGGTGTCCGTCCGTCTGATTATATGCAAAATGCGTGCGGACAATTTCATTTTGTTTAAACTGAATAAATGCAGGGGCCAATATGGATTCGGCATGGGGGATTGTTGGTATTGGTATTGGTATTGGGATTTGGATTTGCGTTTGCGTTTGACGCTGTTGAATTTCATTTGCCGCATTACATTCAATTTTTCATGCTGCCTCGCGCCGCGGCTGCTCCTGCTGCTTTTTGGCTTTATTTCTTTATGAATTCATTCACGTACAGCGGCCGCACACAATAGGCAGCTCTCTTGACCGTTAAAGCCCCGACTCCGACTCCGCCTCCGCCTCCGACTGCGACTCGGGCCGAGTTCCTGCCACCGTTGGCTGCCGCCTTTTGTCCGGCTCCACTCTCATTTCGCATTCAATGGGCGAACGCATCCATCGAACGAAAGCCAAGACAACCAAAGCAATTTCAATACAAGCGAAAAAATCAACAGCAACAACAGAAGCGGCAGCCACAACAGCAACAACAACAACAGCAACGACAGCAACGACAGCAACGACAACAGCAACAGCAACAGAAGAAATGGTAAATGAAAGTGCCCTCAAAAGGTTTTCTAAATTTGTGACTCGAAGTGCGCGACCAGCAACTGAAGAAGAGTTTTTTTTCCCCCCTCGCCCCTCCCTGCGCCAGCCCCTCCCTGCCATTTCATGGAGTCTTTCCCCGTCGCTTTTGAGGTTGGGCCAAGCGGAGTCTACCTGGCTTAATTGTGTCGCACTGCAATGACGGAGCGACTGCAGAGAGAACAGCCGCGCTTGTCTTTCAATTAGCGAAAGTCCGAGCTCGAGTCCGAGCTCGAGACCGAGTCCGAGACCCATGCCGGGGCTGTAGCCAGCAGACATTGATATGCAGATGAGGCTGGTTCTATCCAAGGCCCAAATCAACTCAAATTAAATCAAACCAGAAAGAAAAAGTTGTCAACGGCTAGGCTGCTTCATTAAAAGGCCATCTAATGAGCTGTTTATGCCTAGTTTTACTTTTCAACTCTGCTTCTATTTCTTGTCTTTACCCCGAAACCGTCTGTGCTTCTTTGGTTAGGGCCAATAGCCAAGGCCTAAAACAAGTGGCAGGCAGAGAGCGGCTCTCGCACAGGAAGGGAAAGCTGCCACTCGTACGCGTGTGTGTGTGTGTGTGTGTGTGTGTGCCTCGTTTTACAGCTTCAAAGAAAAGCAAAAGTCTGAGGCACATTATGGCCAGAAATTGACATTCTTTGCTGTCCCCCAACGCCTCCCGGCAGGCGATCCACCATCCAGCATCGGCAACACATCGAAAACAATTCGAACAGAAAAAAAAAAACGACGATGGAAAAATATACCAACAAAAAAAAAACAATAAAAACAACAACAAACTGGCTTCGGGCACTTTCTCTTTCTTTCACTGAGACGACGATAACGGCCACAACTGTACTGGGTTGAAGGAGGGGAGACCTGGGGCATGAGGCGGCCTCAAAGACCAACAACAACAAAAACAACAACAACAGCGAAAAGGGAAGCACGAAATCAACGACAAATAGAGAGAACAACAACTACACTCGAAGCAAATAGCAAATAGCAAATAGACCCGATTGCTCTTGT